AATGGGCTTTTGCCAGGTTCAGTTTGCACAGGAATACAGGTAAAGCTCATCAGTCATTGTCAGGCAGTAAGGCTCAAACAATAGATGACATACAAAGAACTACAAGGGCTTATTCTGAGTCAGGGTCAGTTAGCTAAGGGGCTGTAAAACTTTGGGAAACAAGCTCATTTCATGCTTGGACCCTAATCAGAAAACTGAGGACATTCTTAGCAAAGCAGGTTTCATAGGATTTTATGTATTTTTTCTTACGCCTGATTGCCCTGGGGAACCTGCCCTTTCCAGCACATGGCTGCACTGCCCTCTGTCATTGTTTCAGGCTTAAGGTAGGCAGGGGAAGTAAGGCAGCCAAGAAATTAGGAGACTTCTTGTAGACAGAATGAGGACTCAGGCTATGTCAAAGCCGAGGGGTGAGGGTCCATCACTCCCTTTTTCTATAGCCCCCCAAGTCCTTCCCTGAGGGCCCCTCCGTGACCGTGCCTGTCTTAGGTCATCCCTCTCTTGAGGAATCTTACCTGTCACTGGCTAACGGGGCCAAGCAGGGTGAAGTAAAAGGGGGAGGGGGCAGAGGCAGTGCCCCTGCCAGGGGATAAGCTTTGTCTCCTTAGTGGCTTATGGTCCCAAAGTCTCTCATTTAGCCTTAGCCCTGGGGGTGGTTACAGCTTCTGAAACCAGACAGGGCGGTTCCCAACACCTACTCTGTTGGAATCTCATTAGCCTTGTCCTTTAGGGAGGGAGAAGCAGAGTGAGACTCATGTAGAAGGGCTGCACGTGTCTGCCCAGTTGAGGAACTCTTCTGCCACAGAGATGGTGGTTGGCTCTGTGAAGATTTCTGGGAGGCCTGCCCTGGGCTGGGGGCTGGAAAGCCCTCCACCCAGCTGTCACTTGGCTCCTGCCCAGGTAGTGTCTGCAGCAGGACAGAGCCCTCCAACCCTATTTAGCCTATGATTTGCAGAAACTTTCTTTTGCTCTGAGAATGGACAAAGGTCAGGGCAGGTGTCCATGCCCACAGTGTCAGTAAGGGGAGCAGGCAGGGAGCATTTGCCCATCCTTGCCCTGGTCTTGAAGGTGAGGGCAGGCAGCCACGGTGCTGCCAGCCGCAGGCCCCTCGCTGAGAGGACCTTCTCTGTTGACTGGGTTTGCTTTGGAATCCACAGGCACCATCCAGGCCTTGGTGCTGCTCACTGGATGTTGCTAACTGGAACGTTTAAGTAATAATTGTAGATATTTGTTCATTTTTTTTCAAAACAATTGGATTATCTTACTTTTTTTAAAGATTTTATTTATTTATTTTTAGAGAGGGAAGGGAGGGAGAGAGAGAGAGAGAAACATCAATGTGCAGTTGCTGAGGGCTGTGGCCTGCAACCCAGGCATGTGCCCTGACTGGGAATCGAACCTGCGACACTTTGGTTCGCAGCCCGCGCTCAATCCACTGAGCTACGCCAGCCTGGATTTAAAGTTAGTTTTAACTTCGTTTTGTTAGGGGAATGTTGGTGAATACGCAGTTTATTGGAAATCCTAAACAAAGCCTCTTCTCCCCGCATACGACCCAGGAGGGAGGGCCACAGAGCGAAGGTGTGACAGGGTGGTGCACACCAGTGCAAGGGAGACAGGGTGGTGCATGTCTGTGGTCAGTTGAACAGTTTCCGTTCTCGTGATGGTGAGAAAACTAACAGCTCTCCCCTCTCTCACTGCCGCCACGTCGATCCTGCCAGCTGGAGATGGAGGACGAAGACACCATCGACGTGTTCCAGCAGCAGACGGGAGGCTCGCGGGTGACTGGCTGCCTCTCGGGATGTGGTCTCTAGAGGGACCGGCCCCACTTTGTCACTGTCCTTGCATTTGCTGTCAAATAGTGAACACGTGACCATGCCAATCACAAAGGAGTCTGCAGGAACCAAGGACATCCACCAAAATTCCTTTCCTCTCTGACATACTGCGGGTGCAACTCAAAACTGTCTGCAGGGACAAATCCTCGCCTGAACCCGGGCCAGCCACAGTGTCATGTTTGTTTAGGAAGATGAGTTGCAAAGTTTCTGGGGTTTGTTTTTGCTTTCATTTTTGTCTTTCCCCTCCTCCTATGACACTTCCCTGAAGCTTGTGGTGTGAATGTCCTCTTAGTCTAGATAGGGATCGTATCCTAGGTATCGAGTAAGGCCTCCTGCTTATTTTATCATGTAGAGAGCTGGAGTCACCAAGGTGGGGGTGCTTCTGTGGGACACATTTTGGGGGCATTGTGGGGATGGGCGACAGACTTCCACTTACTGTTTCTTGTAGGTTTTTAAAATACTATTGCAAGTTTAAATTTTGTGGGAATATAGTAAAGTTGAAGGGAGAATACTGGAATGTTTTTTAAAAGGTGAAAAGAAAAATAACGAAGTCCCTTCATGGCATGGCCCTGGATGCTCTGTTCCTCTGGTGTCTGCTTGGGCAGAGGTGGGCCAGGGGCCCCCAGTGGTACACGGGCAAAGCGGGGTGCAGCGGAAATAGGCTTTTCCCTTTTTTTAAAAAAATTTTTCACTTACCGTTTACATTCAATATGATTTTGTATCAGTTTCAGGTGTCCCCTTTTGTTAATACAGAGGAAAGTAGTTCCCACGTTTCTCATTTGGTAGTAGTACTGTGGCCTCCAAGTTCTTCCAGTATTTGCTTCTGATGAGTAATTATGGTGTCTCTATACAAAAAGTACGATTAAGTATTGCTGACTTTGCAGTGACATTTTTGTGTAAAAGAGCTACTTCAGAGTGCAGTTACAGGCGGGCCCCAGGCAAAGACAACTTTTCGGCCTCACAGACTGTGTTCTGCCGCTTTCCAACATTAGCTGTGATTTCATTTCGGTAAGACATTTTGGAACCCGTACCTATGAAACGTTCCGTTCTCCTCCTGCCCTTCCATGTGGAGCCCCTGCTGCCCGGTGGCCCTGCTGTGCCTCGTTCTGGCACCTGGACAGTGCGACCTCGACCATCTCTTGCTTGCCTGGAATCTTGCCTTTCCTTTGTGTTTTGCTGTTGGGGTGTGGATGTGGTGTCTGCTGGCTCTGCTGTTTGTTCACAATTTGTACATTCTTTGTTGTCCTTTACTACTGTACACAGTAAATATAGTTTGGTATTCTGTCTCTTGTATTAAATATACTGCATTTGGAGGTTGCGGCCAACTGTCACAATGCAACACTTGTAATGACCACTCAGCGAGGCCACTTAGATTTTGATTTAAAGGCTAGTCGATGAAAAGTTAAGTATTCACCTGCTGCCTCACCCCCGACACACCCCGCCCCCGGGAGGTCACCTGTGTTGGGCTGCCATGTTCCTGCCGAGAAGTCCACCCTCTCACGCCCCACAGAACTCTCTCATTCAGTAAGCTGCAAACTGACACTATGACGACACTCACTGTCTTGGGTGTCACATGTAAAGAGAGGATGGGTTTTGGAGGCAGCAGACGGAGCTGGGCATCAGCCTGGCATCTCAAGTTGTTTGGTGCCTTGTGCCTTCCTGTCCTACTAGTGTTCCTCTGTGTGGTTGACAACCTACTCACCTGCTTTGAAGCTGAGTGAGCTGCTACTAATTTGACAGAACTTCCCAGCAGACTCTGCTGCGACAAAACCAGGGTTGGAAATGACAGAGCTGTTTTAGTTAGTGCATCCAGTGAGGTGAACACAAGCTGAAAGGTCAAGGGCAGCTGGGATATAGCACGTCCACTGTGGAACCTGATCATTTACACTAGCCAAAGTAGTAGGTGGGCTCAAGCAAATTACAGGGACTGAGTCATTTGCTAGATTCCCTGGAGGGTGCATGTGGGGGTGGGGTTACATCTGCAGAGGAGAGCCTGCACTCCTCCCTGGAGAGAGTGGAGCTGAGAGTCTGGGAGGTCAGAGCAGTGCTGTTTAATTCCCACCCACAGCACTGGAGATTGTGCCTTTGGAATAATAACCTCTTGGTCTAACTCCCAGGATCTCTGAATTGATGCTTCAGGAGTAGATACGCCCTGTTTATCCTATTAGTGGAGCCCAGGTCCCGGCTAGCCTTCCCCAGTAGCAGCCAAAGCCCCACTTTCCAGGAACCCTCCCAGGAAAACCTGGCGGGTGTCAGTCACCCTCCTGTGCTGGGCTAGCTCACAGCTGGGGAAGCAAGATATTAATAAAGCTCTACCTTAAACCGGGTTCAGCTGTGAGATACCTTTTGCACTTAAGAACTTGAGTTGCCAAAGAAAAACGACATTTCATTCTGCACTTGCTGGGCTCCTCTGCTTAGGAGGCCCTCAAGTATCGCACCCGCTACTCAGCACCCAGGTCATGCTGGTGAGTGGGCTGGCTGCGGCTTGGGCCCCTCGGGCTCTCCAGGTTCCTCCGTGGGGACGAGTTTGGGCACCCCGAGTCCCGGCCACCCTAGCAAAATAACCCCACTACTATCGCCGACCCCCTCTTTCCAAACCTAACCCCTGTCGTAAGGTAGTCGGAGTGTCAGTGTATTAGGAGATGGTCTCCTTTGGCTGCGGTTGGCCCCAGAGAAAGTGGCTCTTAGCGGTGGGGGGTGACGTCGTGGCCACGCGTGATGGATACCACCGACCGCAGCTGTTTCTTTCTCCATCCCTCCAACGGTGTCTTAAAAAAAAAACACTAAAACCCTGAGTGACGTCTACCCAATTTGCCCTGCCGTCACCCCGTCCCCTGTTCATCTGACCATCGTGCGGCCGCTATGACGGAACAAGGGGTTACCACGCACTCAACCCGGGAACCTGCTACGCAGAATCTTCGGGAAGATCGGGTCCTACAGGAACTGGGGTTGCTGGAAGCGACTTTAACCCCACAAAGCGGCGGAAGGGCCTAGCTACTCGCGGACTAGGAACCAGAGCCGTTCCAACCCCATCCCAGCCGTGCTCAGGTCCCCCGCCCCTTCCCCGCCCCTTCCCCGCCCCGGCCCGGTCCACGCTCCGCCCCATTCTCAACATTCTCCCTCCGGTCTTGCCACTGCGCACGCGCGCCTCGCACAGCCCGGATGGGCTTCTGCTCCCCAGCGGCGACCCGGAAGCAACCGCGACGTCGGGCGGGAGGATACGAGCTCTTAGGCCCGACGGCACTGCTTAGCCGAGACGATGGCAGGGACGGCGCTCAAAAGGCTTATGGCAGAGTACAAACGTGAGTCCCGGGCCCATCCGCCGCCAACTCTCACACCCTCCTCCCTCCTCCCGCCCGGGTCCCCGCGCCCTCGGCCCCGCCCTGGGCCCCCGTTGGGCCGCTGCTCCTTGAGGCCTGGGTGGAGTGGGGGCTAGGAAAGCCGCCTGCGGAGCCCAGACTCCTCTCACCCACGGTGCCTCCCGGTTTGTTCGCAATTAGCAGCGAGTGAGCCGCAGTGGTCTCCAGTCGCCCTGCTCCGCTGTGCCTCCTCCTCCTCCTCGATGTGTCCGTAAGCTTGTACGGAGGATGCATTAAAGGGCAAAAGTGAACGTTACTGCTGCGCTGGTTCAGAAATATTTACAGTTACATTCAGCCATCAGCTTGCTGTTGGTGTTCGTCTTTGGCCCTTTTAGTCACTTGGACAATTCCCTAGTTCCAGCTTCGTCCACGTGCAGTGAGAGGAGGGGAGGAAAGCCTCAATTGCCTACCGAGAAGTTAAAAAAACTATTTTAAGAGAAAAAACGCACTGCGATGAGTCTGAGGTGACAGTTTAACTTTCGGTTTTCTCTTTAATAAGGGCATGGCGGTCTTCAACAGTGCCACCACCTGTTACTCTTCCTAGGTGGTGTTCACAAAACCTCGGTGCTTTCTTAGCCAGTAGATTTTTCTAATATTTGTGGGGAGCAAAGGAAGGAACGGGAACCTAGGAACGTTCCATATTCTACGATTTCATAGCAGTGTGCTCCCTTGGGAGGATCGCCTGTGATAAGTCCTGGCATGCCGTCGCATCGCACAGCTGGTGAGGCAAGGTGGCAGCCCCCTCGTGGTTAGGGACAGAAGGGCCTCTGGAGCTTCCACTTGTTAGCACTCTGACCTTGGCCTCGGCCCTTAACCCCTGCATTTTCCTTCCTTGGGAAGACGTGCTTCGCAGGGTACCTGATACGTAGCTCTCGATAATGTTAGCAGTTGTTGTTATAATTAGATGGACAGTGCCTTCAGAAGAGAGTTGACAGTAAACTGACATAATGAAGTCATACAAATAATGGGTAGATATGTGTGCAGCTCCACTTCCTGAGCCGTATCAGTGGCACTGTGCAGGGAGGGTCCCGTTTGGCGGGAGCAAATCAGAGTGTTACAGGTGCAGGGTCATTAACATAAACGCGTAAACAGTGCTCACCACCTAGTGTCCCCCATAGTAGGAACATGTATTTAAGAGAGAAATGGGAGCGGACCACACGGAGAGATGGTTCACTCTGAACAGAGGTTGGGGGAGAGGCTGGTGCCCTTGTCTCCATATGGGAAAGGTGCTGGCTTGTGGGGGGGTGTCAATGTGTAGGAACATTTAGCATTTCCTGTCACCCTGGTCTCTGTTTCTGGGTCTGTATTAGTTTGTTTTGCCCAGTCTCTAGACTTCAAGCAGGAATTACTTTCTCATTTCTGTAGAGAAGGAAGTATCTTAAGTTTAGGCTGCTGCTTCAATCCAGTCTTTGCATTATTCGGCTTTGCTGGAGAATAGCCCTAGAACTACAGAAAGTTAGTGGTGGTAGGACCTCAAATATGATTCTGTTTAGGCTTCTGATTTTACAGGAAATTGAATGAACAGAAGCAACATGATTTGCCTAAGTTCTTAAAAGCAGAAAAAAGAGAGAGCTGGGAAAAACCCCCAGATGTTTTCAGCTGGTATCTTTTCTTGAGGTTTTGTCTTCGTACATCAGTCTAGCTTTTCCTAGGGATAGCAGAGGTAGACTTGGGTATGAGTTTCTTGGGGTGGCCGAAATAAAGGAGCACAAGGTGGCTGGGTGGCTTAATGCCACAGAAATTTATTCTTTCACAGTTTTGATGGCCAGAAAGCCCAGATCAAGGTGTCAGAAAGGCCACGCTCCCTTCCAGGGCTCTGGGGAAGAGTCCCTTCTTGCCTGTTCCAGCTTCTGGTGGCCGCTGCAATCCTTCGTGCTCCTTGGCCTTTTCGTAGTGTAACTGCAGTCTCTGCTTCTGTCTTCACGTGGATGGCTGTCTCCCCCTCCTCTATACTTTGCTGGTCATCAGTTTAGGCCCCACCCCAGACTAGTATGACCTCATTCTACTGAGTGCATCTGCAAGGCCCCCATTTCCAGATAAGGTCATTTTCACGTATTTTGAGGGACATTATTCTACCCAGCACAGTATCTAATGGGAACCCCAGACTCACAGGTGTAAAACTGAGTCCCTGTTCTTGCATCATTGTTGCACCCCAACCCCATCTCAAGTGTTGGCAGCTTCTTTCTTCCTGTTTTGGAGGCTCAAAACATTGTGTCCATCCCGACTCTCACTTTCTTTTATATCCATCCGCAAGTAAATTGATGCCCTACTTCAGACTTCATCCGGAGTCCCGTGCGGGACCAAGCCAGTCCCCAGGCCTGGATGACCTCAGTCTTTACGGGTTTTCTACTTCTGCTCTTGCCTCACTTGGTTCTAGTTTTAAAACAGCAGAAAGTCAGATCATGTCACTGCCTAGCACCCTCGGCTGTAGTAAGAACCCAAGTCCTTGTCGTGACCTTTCAGGCTCGACATGCCCAGGCCCTCCTCTTGCCTCTCTGACCTCATCTACTCCTCTGCCCTGGCACCTTGCTCTCCAGCCCCGTCGGCCTGGCTGTCGGCACAGTCCTGTCTGGGCGCCAGCACTTGCTTTTCCTGGGTATCTTCATTGCTTGTGCCTGCTGCCCTGGAGAAGCTGTCCCTGAACCCCCAGCCTCAGCCCGTCCTTCCTGAACTGTCGTCTCTTCCTGTCATTAACCCTTCTTAGCTTTTCACAACATTTCGTGTTGTGAAATGTATTGTATGTGCAGAAGTATGTAAAATGTGTATGTTCATATGAAGAGTAAAATGAACGCTTGTAGCCAAGACAGCGAGCTTAAGAAATAGAAGGCTAGAGTGACTTAGGAATCTTTGTGCACCTTCTACCACCATGAGAAGTTACTGCCACTGAATTTTGTGTAAATTATTCTTTTTCTTCAGTTTTACCACTCAATGTACCTATAAACAACATATCACCTACCTTAGTCTGTTTGTGCTTAATAGAAACATAATTTTACCGTACATGTTCTACAGATCGAATATTTTGAAGCACGTAGCTGGAGTTCATTTTCACTGCCAAGTAGTGTTTTGTTTGACAGTGAGCCAAAGTTCATTACATCATTGCTGGGCATTTAGGTTATTTCCAGCATTTCATGATTACGTAGGTGGTGCTTCCAGGAACGTTTTGGTGCGGGCTGCAGGGCATGACGTGTTCCTGGAGCGCTCGTGTGAGCAGCTCGACGGGTTCTCGGCGTGTTGTTCCCATGTGCGGCGCATCACACGCTCGCTAACAGCTCGAAGCTGTGCAGCTGGCCTCTGTTTTCGTCGGCCGATGGGTGTGCTGGGATTTGTTGATCGTGATCATGAGCGAAGGTGAACATCCTGTCGGGTTTGGAGGCCGTTGTGTTTTTCTTCTGTGAAATGTTCATCCTGTCTTTTACCAGATTTCCGTAGGCTGGTTTGCCTTTTTCTTACGGATTTGTGGGAGTTCTTTATACGTTTCCTGTCCTTGGGTATATCTCCAGTCCTTTCTTGTTTATCTGTGTTACAGTCGTCTTATCCCTGTTTGTGATTCGTCCTTTCAGCCTTTGTGGTGGTGTTTCTTACAGCCACACTTGTTTCTAAAGCCCTTCATTGAAGTGTAATGGGCTTACATTAGGCTGGTGCATTTGGAGTGTACGTGCAGTGGATTCGGAGGTACGCACACCTGTGGAGCTGTCGCCACAATCAGGATGAGGAGCGTGACGACTGCCCTCTGAAGTCCCTCCCGCCTCTTCATAACCCAGCTCTCCCTTCCCCTCCTGGCCTCCAGGTCCCAGGCAGCATCTGGTCTGTTCTCCGTCACTGTAGATTGTTTTTGCCAGGCTCCTTTCGTTCCGCGTAATTATGTCGTGATCCATCCAAGTTGTCAGGCTGTAGTTGTTCATAGTGTGGTGTCTTATGTTCCTTTGTATTTCTGTGGTAGCAATTGTGACATCTTTTATTTCCAATTTTACTTACTGAAGTCCTCTTTTTTTTTTCTTGGTGAGTGTGGCTAAACGTTTGTCAATTTTACGTTTTCAAAGACCCAGTTCTTAGTTTTACTGATATTTTCTATTGTCTTTTTAGTTTCTTTCATTTATTTCTCCTCTAATCTTTGTTATTTCCTTCCTTCTGCTAATTTTGGGCTTCGTTTGGTTCTTTTTCTAATTCCTTGAGATGTTGATAAATGCTAGTTGTTTAGCTGAGGTTTTTCTTGTTTCTTAAAGTAGGCATTTTATTGCTACAAAATTTCCTCTTAGAACTGTTTATGTTGCATCCCACAAATTTTGGTATGTTCATTTCCATTTTCATTTGTCTCAGGGTATGTTTTGATCTCTCTTTTTATTTCTTCTTTGACCGATTGGTTGTTCACATGTTGTTTAATCTCCACATATTTGTGAATTTTCCGGTTTTCTTCATGTAATCAATATTTAGTTTTATACCCTGTGGGTGGAAAAGATGCCTGCTAAGATTTAAATTCTCTTGTTTTGTGGCCTAACACCTGATCTGTCTTAGGAAATACTCTATGGCACTTAAGAAGAATGTGTATCCTTTTGCTTTTGGGTGGGATGTTACGTAGATACTGGCTAAGTTCATCTATTTAATGCTGATGTTTCCTTATTTTCTTTCTGGATAATCTATCCATTGATGTAAGTGGGGTATTGAAGTCCTCTACTGTTACTGTATTGTGATGTCTCCCTTTAGGTCTGTGGATACTCCTTTTATGTATTTAGGTTTTCCTCTGTTGGATGCGTATGATTTCCACATGTGTCTTCTTGTTGGCTTGAACTCTATCATCATCTAACGCCCCCCTTTGTCTCTTATTACAGCCTTTTTTCCTATTTTTAAAAAGTCTGTTTTGTCTGATACAAGCAGAGCTTCTCCAGCTTTCTTTTGCTGACTGTTTGCAGGGAACATCTTTTCCTAGCCCTTCACGTCCAACCCGT